CCTTTTGAGAAAAGTCCATTTATTTATTAGTTTCAGAAAATTTAACAAACAAAACGGCAACAGTTACCAAAAAAATTGAAACGCAAATTCATGTGGTTGTTAAATTTACTGGAGTCGACAGCAAGGAACAATAGATTTGAAAAAATCTTATGATTTCTTTGGATTTTATGTTGACCCGATATTTTTCTTTTGCTTAACGGAAGAATCGAGAGAATTCGATGTGAATATGTGCTAAGGAAAACAAAGGAATACCGATGGCCTGAAACACCGAAAAACGGTTAGGCCTTACTAGTGTTTGCATGAGATCCCTACGTTTGAATCTTGACCCAGATTGGGGGGTTTATTTTTTAGAAAATCAGGAGATTTTGATATTTTAAAGAACAAAGTATTCCATGCAATTTTTTAAATACACTGATCCTGAACTGCACATCGATCATTCCCAGTTAATTCATACTCAACATTACCTGTTGCTGATTATTTCAGTAACAATAAATGGATAAATCATTGCGCAATAGAGCCATTTCAGCTTTCCTTTCTTAAAAATGTAGTATCTGCGTTCCTAATGTACTAAAACGTCTGACGCCAAAACACTGATACCAAACTGTCGGCTCTAAAAACACCCTTTATCTTAGTAGACTGTGAGAGAAAATGAAACTTTGTGATGGCAACTGTGAAGAGATTCGTAGATATAAAGTTTTGTATGTGAAAATCATTGATCGACTTGAACTTTAACACATGTTTCATAACTAATAATAAAGAGACGCTTTGTGAAACCATAAAGGTGGTCAATGCAAGAATGGATCGTTCAGGTGCCAACTTATTAAGCACTGATAGTATCTTCAAATTCCTGTTTCATGATTAGGCAACTTGAATTTGATTTGTATACATTTCTACCGTTGATAGTTGCACACCTACTGGGAAGGAGTTTCTTATTGCTTGAAGGAAGCAAATTAAGGAAATAAGGAATATTATTATAACGACTCTTGTCAAGTATTTGCTAGACCCTGCAATTGTGTGAACTTTTTGCACCTTTCTTCGGCATTTGTTTCAGAAGTGAAATAATCCGCACGAGTAAGGCATTGATTGAAAGGCTTCTTCTGTCGAAAACAAGTGCTTTCATCAACTCTTTATCTTGATAATCGAACATTCGTAGAACAATTTTAATTTAAGTGATTAAGTGGAAGAGTCGGTTCGCAGATCCTTAACCCTTACCTTAACGATCCCACTCCACTGAGAAATGATATGAGTTTTTACGAAGCAAAATATACGATTGCTCCAGCACTGGAGAAATTGAGACACATGTTGAATTCGACTGAACCAAAATCAAAGTTAAATGAAGCAAATTCATGTTTCTGGTCAACTCGTCTCTGAGAAAAGAACCAAACTGTTCGACGGTTCTCAGGACGCACTATGCTTTCTGAAATATCACCATCGCATTATTAGTTATAAAATTTGTTGATTTCTGTTCTTGTTCTCTAGCCTAGCATATAACTCGTGTTAAATGCAAAGTAAGAGTAAATAATTCAGACAGATCCATTTCGTTTGAATAAAATGCGAATCATTAATTATAAGCAACTTTTATTTGATTTGTATACATTTTCACTGTTGTTACTGATATTACAGTTCATCAGTTAAATGAAAAGATCTCTATTGTTCACTGTTCACTTCTAAAAGAGGGAATTTGAGCTGATTTTCAGTGATTTTTCATTCAGATCACAGAACTTTCTCGATTTCTGAGATACTCATGAAAAAGGGGGACTTTCGGAAAACTTCGGGTTGCGAGAAAATGAATCTTCGTCTAAAGTCGGGATCCTCGGCCCGGTAAGCCTGAATCGTTTGTACTGACTATCAGTTCTGGTCACACCTATTAGCATAACTACGACAATTTAACAGTCAAATGCATGATTACTTCGCCCATTCTACTTTACTGATATACTTTGTTACAAAATTGTGTATGTCTCATTTCATGAAAATTTGCAGAATTCTTCTGTTAATCAGGAGGAAATTTCTGTTGTCAATATTGACTGTAGAGACATCCTGAATGTTCTTGTATGGAATAAATGCTCTTGCTTTTCAATAGAGGTGATATGCGTCATAAGTTGATAGCACGCTGCCTATCCAATTTTCTCGTAGAAGGCAAAGGGATGTAATTTTCTGAACACATCTTAATTGACTCTCATCTATCGAAGTGTCAGCATGCCAGGAGTGTGCAGACAG